GACATTCCAAAAATCACAAACGAGGAAGAACTTTTTTCTGTCTACCTTGATGTTTTGGATGGTGTTTATGAAGATGATGTTTTTTCAGACCAGCGTGATGTAATTGTGTCCTCTCTTCATGAGTGCTGGGGTTTGTGGCTCCTGATGAACTCCAGTGAGGAAAAGCCCACTGAGACGATAAAGGAACAGCTGAAGCTGGACTTATCGAGTGCAAAGCAGAAACTTTTGACTAAACAGTCTCCATCCTCCATGGTCTACTTATTACATCAGATCTGGAAACAATCTCCGTGAGAAGGGACGCTTTACTGAGAGCATTGAGATGTACACCAAAGCTTTGGGGGACGGTGCATCTGGAGAGATTATTCCTCTCTATAATCGTGCACTGGCCACTATCAGAAGGAAAGACACCGGTTATATTGCTCAAGCACTGGCTGATCTGGAAAAGGCTGAAAAGGAAATAGATTTTTACAAGTCACATCTGGCACGGATTCTGACTTATATTAAATTATCAAGACAGGATACAAGAGCAGAAGGTAGTGATTTACTCACCACTCAGTTTCAAGTGAAGTGTGTGACTGTAGACCTACTGAAGACGAACATTCAAGATGCTGTGAATAAGTTGAAGAGAGCCGAAAGCAGAGGAGGAAATGTAAGCCTGACTGAAAAACTTACAATTTTTCTTGCAGAAGGCTTTATTATCATTCCTCTAAGACTTATGAAAGAGCTGCCAATGGAATTAATGCATCTCAAGTCATTGGGTCTTGACACCATTTTCACTTTGGACACCATGTTTTCTTTGAGTGGTTTTTTGTCAAAGATCTTAAAATAGTTTTGCAATATGACACTTCTCAGATATCTTAAACGATTATCACAGTATCACAACTGCATCAAATATCGTGTGTGTGTGTGTGTGTGTCTGCGTGCTGGTTTATGTAGTTTATTAGACACAAATTTGTATAATGACATGGGTATGACATAGAGGTGGTTTATGAGGACACATCCTGTGATCCTGTAATACAAATGGCTTAAAAAAAAACATATTAAAATTTATTTATTCCATTAAAAACAACGTTTTTTTTATGCATATAACATTTATGGCAAATAAATACACATTTTAAGTGCACATACTTAATCTAAGTGTAATGAATTATGTGAAAATTAAGGAAATCAAAACCTGTATGTTTTTTTCTCTTCTGTAGAAAATTAAAGAGTAAACAATGACAGGATTTTCATTTTTGAGTGCACTATCCCTTTAAAACTATCAAGATACGTTTCTTGGTTGATATATCACACCAAGGAGTATTTATTAACATGGCCAAACTGCGAAGAGATCACAAACAATAAACTTTCATCTGAATTGAATATTTAATGTGGCCAATTTGCTGGTTGTTCTTCATTTGTTCTTGATTTTCATCGTTTCTGACTGTTGATTACAAAGTAAATTTCCATGTCCACATCATACCTCATATCTTTTATACTGCACATTGATAACAATTACACATTTACAAACATAAACTGGTTCTAGGCTGGTTCTATACATAAATGTTGGCTTAAATACAACGCCAAATTCTGGTACTTCAGATGTGAAATCGATATAGGAAACATATAAACAGCTTCATGATAATGTTTTAAAGTAGCCTATTATAACGTACCACACTGTAAGTGTACATTACACACTGTCCTGATTGGATGATCACCAGTCAGTGAGCAGTCGCTCCATTGCTATTGTTTCATAAAAACATTGATAAGACAGCAATAAGAGAAGAATGTCTGAAAAACAAAAAATATGAGGAAAGAGAAACCAGCATAGCAGCCATGCCAAACAGTCTACACCAAAAATAACCAGCTGGTGACAGAACACACCACCACACCTGAAACAAAGAAACCTGTTTAAACAAGGAAACTATTTTATTCTCTGTACTTACCAACACTAATGAAAGTGAAAGAATACGCTGACAGGCAGCATCATCACGACACAGTGTCTGTATGTGAACAAACAAAACGGTGAAACAATATTCAAGTAGCTTCTTGACTGGAATTCTAATCTTAAATTAAGGTATAATTATAAATGATTACTATTATTATTATTATTTTCATAATTTTAATTCAGCTGTGCATGGTTTCACAGATTTGCATAAAACGTGCTGTCTGAAACATAAATAAAAGTACAGCAGTTCATGTTCCTTTAAATCACGTGACAAACTAAAGCTGATTAAACAAATAAGGTGCTTTTTTACAGCTGTATTCCTTTTACATAGCAGTTAAAATGTTCTTGTAAATCTCAACTTATAACATCACTGTAATTAAATTAAATATAAAACAAGTTTTTATAGAATATATTTTATAGTTTGTTATAGAAAAACAAGTTATGCTCAGAGTCAAGAGCCTCGATCATAACATTATAACAGGCTCCTTCCAAGTAGAGACCTGCACGATCGCAGGACCCAAAGCAGCAGATTGTGGGTGCGGGCGGGTAGAGACTCGTGTGTGCGGGATGCGGGAGAATAATTAAGGTGTACTCACACTAGGCAATCTTAACCGTGCCCGAGCGGATTTGACCCCCAAAACCCAGCCCGTTTGACTAGTGTGATCGCTCCGTGCGTTCGTTTAGCCGTCCCTGGCTCGGTTGGAAGAGGTGGGCCAGAGCGCGGTTCAGTTGGGCTCGGGCGCGGTACGCATGTAGTGTGAGCGGAGCGCTAACTGCGATGGAGCGCAGATCTTCTGATACGTGTGCAGCATGATTGCGTGAACATTTCTGAGGCAAAAGCGATAGATCTGTATATATATATATTGTGCAATATATTGTGAGAGGGCCGTGTTACTGTGTCCCAAACTACTCACAATAATAAACCACAAAGTTAACAAAACGATGCACTCCACTGTGCTGAGCGAGAGCGCTTCTCTGCTGTCTTCACATGCTATCGGAAACTTCCTATTTCCCACTTATGAAGTCGTGATTACGAGCACGTTGCAGTCTTTTCTGTTAAAATAACAGTGAACAGTGGTTTGTGAATGTTGATGCTTAGCCTAAATAATTTTATAAGGAGCAGCCATGTGAGCGCTGCTGCAGTCTTAGGCCCACCACAAATGCTCTCATTGGTTGAAACGCGTGATGACGCCCATCTCAAGCCAGTACTGATCAACATCCCACCCCTCCTGTGACCCATGGTTTGTCTGTATGTGTATTCAGAGCCAGTGAGCAACCGACTTTCATAATAATAAAAAACTGTTAATGCGCGATAAAATAATTGTAGGTGTTAATCAATTAATGCGTTAACGCGATGATAACACGTTAACTTGCCCAGCCCCAATTTATTTATTTAAACCCCACTGGATGTTATAAGGAAAAAAATACAGTAAGTATTTGCAAGAAAGGCATTCAAATTTCAAGCACATTCAAATCAATGAAATAACTTTTCAAACTGTATAAACCCTGTCTCACAGACATTACTTTTACGTCACTCAGTCCAGTTGCATTTTTTAGGCACAAAGCACAGTAAAAGTTGTTACACACAAAGTTGATACAAAGTTGTTTTAGTGTTTCTGAGTCAGAATATTACATATAAAACCTCCATGAATAGGTAATGTTAATTATTTAATGTGACTACAAAATCATCTGGTGCATGTTACTCAAGAAGTTTCAATTTGATCTGAAGTTACTGACAGCTTTATAAAACTATAAATATTAATCTATAATTTGATTCCTGCAAATCATGTGACATACTGTAGTGAAATAGAAACCAAACTAAGCGGAACATTACCCCACCAAAGAAATCCTCTTTAAACTGAAAACATCCTGATGATCAAAGCTGAATGTTTGATTATACCATGTGAAGCTGAACAGGAGTGTGTTTCCCAAAATCATTGTTTGCTAACTATGGTTGCAAGTTCCATTGAACACTATTGGTACTGAACTTGTGACCATAGTTGATTTGGGAAACGCACCCCTGATGAGAAGACTGAATCAATTTAACTGAACCATTCTACCCATACCTCAAATGTCCTGAAAAACATCAATCAGTTACTAAAACTCCTTGAATAGTTGTATACAGTATCAGCAGTAGACTTACAGAACTCCTGTTATATATATGTATATATATATATATATATATATATATACATAAACACACATGCAGGCTGATAACAGAAGAATCTGAAAAACAAAACATGAGCAAAACAATCCAGCATGGTATTCTTGGCAGTCATACCAGCCGGTGAGGGAACATGCCACCACACCACACCTGAAATGCAAAGAAACCTGTCTACACAAGTGATCAGTTGTACCAACACCATTAGGTATTTTCGGTACTTTACCAACACTACTGAAAGTGAAAGAATGTCCTAAGAGAAAATATAGTTTGGATCACTGACTACAGAGAGCCGTGAACATGCAAATATTTCATGCATGTCCAATAGTTAGACTATAACATGCAAAAAAGACTAAATGTAGAATTAGGGCATTCATTTTTTTCAACTTCAAACAGTCAAATGTAGATGGTTTCACAAATTTGCACAAAATTAATTTTCTTAACATGAATAAAACACACAACTCATGTTCTTTCCAATCACGTGACACAAAGAAGACGATTAATATTCCTAAGCATTCCAGAGCATGAGAGACGCCCTCTTTTCTTTTCCAGGTATACATGCAACTCCTTTTAGTCTTTTCTACAAACAGCTCAAGAGGAGCTCTGCAGTGACAACTCCTGAATGTCTCGAATGATGTAAGTAAAATTAATTAATGCTGTCTCTGAGGAAAAAAAAATCTGAATGAAATACTTTTAAAACAATCAAAATATAACATATTTAAAATAAAGTTGTGTTTTTTTTTTTTTTTTTGAGTTATGTTAAATATATATTTGTTTAATATTCGTTTGCTTAAAAAAGTTAGTTGAGCAGAAATTGAATTTATTTCTATGTGGATTTTTTTTAAACCACAGACAGACATGCTGTATTAGGAAAAGTATCACAACTTTACAAGAATTTTCAGAGTTTTGACAATGGAAGCATCAGGAAAACTGCTGTCATCACGACTGCTTTCTCTGCTGAAGAACGGACAATGGGGACAAGATGATGTCGTTAAGTTGTTTAAAGCCCTCGTGAAAGAATTTAATGGCAGAAATGAAGATTTTCACACATGGATGATGAGAATCCTTCATCAAGTGGAGATTCACAAAATAAGTGTGTCTGATTTGACATCGAATGAAAAAAAGATTGTGGATCACGTTGAGGAAAAAATTAACAACATTGTCAAAAACATTGATGAGAAAACACTGGATGAGATTGTGGAGGAAATTCGTAAACAAGCAGATATTGATGAAGAAATGATGGCACAAGTGAAAGATATTGTGTCTTCTGTGTCAGAATGTCTATCAGATTCCACAGCACCACATCTACAAGGAATAAAGGAAAGTTTGTTTAAACTCTGCAAATCTGCAGAAAAGACAATTGAAAATAAACCTCGAGTGACTCAGATGGTGAGCTGGTGCATTCTGGTTCTTTCTAAATCAAGTCGGCTGGTTCAGGTTGGAACAGGAGAAGGAAAGTCGTGTATCGTGGCAATGTTTGCAGCATATCAGGCCATGATGGGAAACACCCCTGATATCATCTCCAGTTCTCCTGTACTTGCTGAAAGAGACGCTAAAGAATGGTTTAGCTTTTATAAGAGACTGAATATCACTGTTGATGCCAACATCGACAAATCAGAAACTGAGCTGAAGAAGTGCTATGAATGCCAGGTAGTTTATGGTACGACTGTCAGTTTTGCAGCTGATTGGCTGAGACAGCACTTCCTTAGACAAGATGTGAGACCTAACAGAGAGTTTCAGTGTGTTATAGTGGATGAGGTGGACTCGCTAATGCTGGACAAAGGTCTTGAAGTGGTTTATTTGAGCACTGAGATTCCGCTAATGGAATCTCTCAATGCAATATTGTCAGAAATCTGGTTAATCGTCAACCAGCTGAAGCGTTTAGACACTGGAGAGATTTTAGGCCCCATTCAGCTCCTCTCTCAGCTTCTGTCTGAAATCATTACTGAAAATAAAAACATTGATCAACACAGTATTGTGCAGATGGCTGTTGACACTGGAATTAAGCCTATAAAATCATCAAAGCAAATGCAAGAAAACATGAAAAATGTTTTAAAACAACTAGATAATGCAAGTGTTGACCAAAAAGTATCATTTCTAAACATGCTTGTGAGAAATTTACCCGAGTATTTCTTCAAATTATACCAGGAAAGGCCTGATGGGACTTTAAGGAGACTGAATGAAATCAGTCCTGCAGATACAAATAAGAGACAAGAAATATCTGTTCTTCTACTGGGAAATGGAAAATGTCGTGTTGTGCACTTTGAGGAGGACTCAATGGATCCATCATTAAGGAAAAAGATTCAAAAGTCATATCAGCCTGAATCAGCAAAAGAACAAAATGAATCTCGTATCCCAGGCCTAGAAGATCTCATCAGTGGCAAGATGCAAACTTGGTTTGGAAGTGCTTTGCTAGCCACAAAATTGACTCTAGGCCACGAGTATGTCCTTCATGGAGATGGAGTCGCTCCTGTTGATTACGAATGCACTGGTGTCGTGCAGAACAACATGCAATGGGGGGAAGGACTTCAGCAGTTTCTGGAGATGAAACACCAAACTAAACTGTCTAACATGACTCTAATCACAAACTTCATGTCTAATGTGGGTTTATTCAAGAAATACAAAAACAAGATCTATGGGATCACGGGAACTTTGGGGGACCAAACAGAGCTTGACATGGTGAAGAAACTCTACAATGGAATTGACACCTGTAAGATTCCCTCATTTAGACAAAGGAAACTTTATGAGTTGGAGGGTTTGGTGATACCAGAAGAAGATGAGTGGATCAGGACCGTCTGTAATGTTGTTAAACATCAAGTGACCTCCACAGTTTATCGAGGTCCACGAGCAGCTCTCGTCATCTGTGAAACCATCAATCGTGCAGAAATGTTCCACAAGACCCTTTCAGAAACAATCTCATTAGACAAACTAAAACTTTATGTGAATAACAACATGAATAACTCTACAATAACAGATTCAACCATTAAAGCAGGGGACGTCATCATTGCAACTAATCTAGCGGGTCGAGGTACAGACCTAAAGGTCAGTGAAAGTGTAAATGAGGCAGGAGGTCTGTTTGTGGTGCAAACCTTCTTACCTCTGAACGTACGTGTCGAACAGCAAGCATTTGGACGAACGGCTCGTCAAGGAAGTCCAGGATCTGCTCAAATCATCATGTGTGCCAGTCATTTCTCTGACACTGTTAAACTAATGATGGGCGAAAATACATCACTAACCAGTTTACACAGCTGTCCGGATAACTTAAGAAAACAGATGACAAAAGAGAGTGTGTTTGAGGAAGCAGTTAATCACTACCTGACAATTAGCAGCTCTCAAAATCATGATGCAATGGTCTCTGCTCTGACAGGCCTCTTAACCACAAATTCAAGTAATCTGGAAAAGGCAAAAGACGCCAGGAACACTGGGGTGAAAAAGAGACTCTCTGGGTTCCTTAAAAAAGACATTCCAGAAATCACGAAAAAGGAAGAGCTTTTTTCTGTCTACCTTGTTTTTTTGGACAAGATCTATGAAGATGATGTTTTTTCAGACCAGCGTGACGTAATTGTGTCCTCTCTTCATGAGTGCTGGGGTCTGTGGCTTCTGATGTATTTCAATGAGGAAAAGTCCACTGAGAAAAGTTCCTTGAAGGAACAGCTGATGTTGGACTTGTTGAGTGCAAAGCAGAAACTTTTGTGCAAACAGTCCCCATCTACCATGGTCTACTATTACATTAGGTCTGGGAACAATCTCCGTGAGAAGGGACACCTTACTGAAAGTATTGAGATGTTCACCAAAGCTTTGGAGGATGGTGCATATGGGGAGATTATTCCTCTCTATAATCGTGCACTGACCACTATTATGAAGAAAGACATTGACTATATTGCTCAAGCATTGGCTGATTTGGAAAAGGCCAACAAAGCAATAGATTCATACAAGTCACATCTGGCACATATTCTTACTTGTGTGAAATCATCAAGACGAGACCAGACAACAGAAGGTGATACTTTGCTCAGTAAACAGTTTCAAATGAAGTGTATGATTGTAGATCAACTCAAGGATAACATTCAAGACGCTGTAATGAAGTTGAAGAGGGCTGAAAGCAGAGGAGGAAATGTGAGTCTATTGGATAAACATACAATTTTTATGGCCGAAGACTCTTTGAAGAGGGCTATAAGTAGAAGAGCTATTAGCCTGCCTGAAACAATTGCCCTTGTTGTGATAGAAGACTTTATAAAGAGGGGTGAAATCAAACAAGGAGATGTGAACTTGGCTGAAAAATTTGCACTGCTTTATGCAGAAGACAATACAAAAAGAGCCGAGCGCAGAGGAGGAGATGTGAACCTGGCTGAAAGACTTATATTGTTGCTGTTAGAAGAACCTATTCACAGTTCTCAAAAAATTCTGGAAGAGCTCATAATGGAATATGAACATATCAGGTCACTGGGTCTTGACACCATTTTCTTGTTGGACACCATATTTTCTCTAAGGGGCTTTTTGTCAAAGATATTTAGATAAGACATAATGTTTAGATGATAAGACTGTCTTAAAATGTAACACTTCTCTTGAGCTTTCAGTTCTTGTCAGTCAAACTGACATACACTTATATGTGTATTCACGCATGCACGCACACACACACAAACGTTGGGTTTCCATGTTTTATGGGGACATTCAATCGACATAACGATTTTTATTCTGTACAAAAACTGTATTTTCTCAACCCTTATCCTAAACCTACCCCTCACACAAAACTTTCTGCATTTTTAGAGTTTCAAAACACTTTACTGTGTATGATTTAAAAGCTGTCTTCTTAAAAAAAAAAACACACACACAAGGTAAAAAGTTACTGGTATTTATATCCTTGTGGGTCCCCATAACATAGGGAAAACCAGGACACACACACACACACACACATTAAGATCAATAATGGTTATTTATACACATACTTCATACTAGGAATGTGCCTCTGAGCAATATAATTTAAAACAAGAATTGTAAAGTATGACAGATGCTATAAATTTTGCCTAATCAGGGTACATACTCAAATATTATACTGCATGTTTAGGGTTAAAATAGAAAGATGTTCTGTTGTATATTTATATAAAATGTTTATGCATGCTCTGTGTACAAGTACTATAAGTGCAAAACTTCATGTAATGGAATTGTTAAAAACAAGTAAATCCTGTCTGTCTAATTAAAGTAAGGACATACAGGACAATGCTGAAGAAATAAAGGCTTTGGACGCTCAGTTCCCAGCAGCTGATTTTTCATAAGCTGGAATCACTGGAGCAAAATCTTTGACTGGAATATCTGAACTCGTGAGAATTGGGCTTGTCGCAAACATATAGAATCACTGCTCTAAAACTGTGAAAGTCACTGCTGCGATTACAGGTGTGCTGTCTGGTCTCTCTCACCCTCGACACCATCTTCATTGTGAAAGATGCTAAAGAGGTGCATGAAATCAACCACCAGAGAGCAGCTGGGATCCAAAATCAACAACAAAAGATCAGATCAGACACACTGAAATTCATCAATGCAATGAGAGAAACAGCCCAGATATCTCAGGACACACTGAATGAACTGAAAATGCAAAAGATTTAATTGAAAATTAACTACCAAACAGAGTTTCTTAGAGATTTATGGAATTATGTTTAAATATTTTGTATATTTGTATATGTAAATGTACCATAGACTTATATATAAACATTATAGACTTGAGTTATGTAATAAATAACTGTTATAATATCTCACATATAACATACATTGTCTTCACTAAGATACAGTATTTTTTATCAATGTATTTCCATCACCATTAAACATTTTCACTTTCAACATAGACATTAACATTAGCACCCTGTATAGATAAGTGAGAAAAATATAAGGCAGTAAAGTGCTAATTAATAAGAAAAGGTCATAATCAGTGTGCCTTTTTTTGCAAAGTATCTGCAAAGTATGCATAGTTCTACATAGACTATGCACGATTAATCGAAATCGAACCGAAATCGCGATTTGGCTTGATTATGACAATCACAAAAGCTGCGATTTTTTATGAAAAAAATATATGGACAGCGGCAGTAGTAAATGCTGCTCATCTCACGCCCGAGATGGCATGAAGAACATAGATAATGTTCTTCACATGTCTTTAATCAGTTCAGGCGTTTCTATCTTTTTTTAAAGGGGTCACATGATGCTGCTAAAAATAACATTATTTTATGTATTTGGTGTAATGAAATGTGTTTATGCGGTTTAAGGTTAAAAAAACACATTATTTTCCACATACTGTTCATTATTGTTTCTCCTCTATGCCCCGCCTTTCTGAAACGCATCGATTTTAACAAAGCTCATCGGTCTGAAAAAGCGAGGTGTGCTCTGATTGGCCAGATATCCAGTGC